TAAAGGATGCAGCTATTAAGCTAGCTATATTTAATACTTAAGCTTCTAACGGAATATTTATCACTCGTTGAACATAATACCTACGGTAGACATCACTAAATATATCATCAACTTAGAATATAATATCACACTGTCTTACACCTTATAAACTAATTACTAATTTAACAAAATATAACCATAAGAGCTAAGCAATCGTCAATCCTTTCAGGAAATGATTCCAACTTATTTTATCTACTTAGCGTATCATGATATTGTCTAGTCAGACTAAAATAGTTTATCTTTCGCGATTTTAATCCTTTTATATGTCGGTCATTGTGTATAATGGACTCAAATATACTCCTTTATTTGTTATACCGTATACGTAAATGCAACAATTTTAAAGATTGATTGTGATTCATCTTAGGCTTGAATCTATTCTTACGAATAGCTGAAACGTATACTATAACGTCTGCCAGTGCATCTGAAATTATGCGTATGTCTATGTGGACGTGGAGCAATACTGCATCATCCAGTCTTATTTGTCCATGTGTCACGATAGCCGGTGGTGTAGAAATAATAGTCATCCTTACTGGGTGTTTTATATCCTTGTGGCTAGCAATTGCAACCCGTGCGAAATTTGTTACCCATTATTGTCGCAAAGTTCACTACGATGTCTCCTTTGTTAAGGATTTTAATTGATATAGTATACTGTAGGTACAATATATAATGACATTTTGCTACTTTTACTTCCTTTTCCATTCTATTTGGTATTGCATATTTTAATTTTGTTGTGTTTTTAACCTATGTATTCCACGCCCACACGTATTACAATCAAAGACGATAGTTAAATTTTGTAATTTTTCAATAATACAATTTAGAATTGGTTTTATTATTATTATTAATAATTATTAATTTATTATTATTATATTATTTTGCCGTTGCAAATTTTACTATTTTATTGATATGCTATGAGGTTTACATCGCGCATGCGTCATGGCCAATCATGATACGTCATGATAGGAAGATAGCATTGGCACTTCACTACGTCGATTCATAGCATACCGGTCTTGATTGATGTCATTACCTATATATCATCCTATGCATCTACTTATTGTTGTATATATAGTTAGTAATAGATTAAATACGATATGCTAACCATAAAGGCATCAATCAAAATCACGAAAATTGATATACAGTACTGTAAGAAAAGACTTTGAATTTTTATCATTCATGGTTGACACCTTGATGGACTGTAGTACAGTCTGTACACTCAACGTCTACTGTACACTGTACACTGTACACTGTACCAGTAGAGGTCTTCATGGTCTGGTCCACACCAGACATGAAGATCTCTACGTACAGACGGACAGAGTCTGTTTTCCAAAGGCGAGACTGCGATATCAAATTCCAGTAGAGTAACAAGTACACTTACTGTACATCAGTAGTACTGTACAGTGTACAGTGTGCAATATCTCCAGAGGATCCTGATAGAATTGTACCTTTGAGAGAATCTTGGAGAATATCAGTATTGGATACTATCGCCATCATCACGAAAATTGATATACAGTATTGCAAGAAAAAACCTTGAATTTTTATTATTCATGGTTGACATCTTTAATACAGTATACTGTACAGTACTGTACAGTGTACAGTATGTGTCATGGACTGTAGTACAGTCTGTGCACTCAATGTCTTCTGTACACTGTACTGTACACTCTACGTACAGACGGACAGAGTCTACTCACTACAGTACAGTACGTACAGTACAAGGCGAGACTGCGATATCAAATTACAGTACAGTACTGTACACTGTACACTGTACACTGAGAGGTTTCCCTGGTCTGGTGTGGACCAGACCAGGAAGATCTCTACGTACAGACGGACAGAGTTTACTCACTACAGTACAGTACGTAACTGTACTGTAGAAGGCGAGACTGCGACATCAAATTACAAACCTTTCACGGTACAGTGTACAGTGTACAGTACTGTACTGTACTGTACACTGTACACTGTACCGTGAAAGGTTTCCCTGGTCTGGTCCACACCAGACCATGAAGATCTCTACGTACAGACGGACAGAGTCTTTACTCCAAAGGCGAGACTGCGATATTAAATTCCAGTAGTTCTTCCTCGATATTGAGTACACTTGTAGGGAGATATTTGAAAGATTAACATCAACTTTTCCCTCGCAGACTACTACTGTAATGAATTAAATTGTGTTTTAGGACAACTTGATGCCAGTCAACTTTGCCACAATTACTTCATTTTGTTAAGCATCAATTTCTCACAACACAACAGCAACCCTTACAAAGTGCCTGACTGTGTGGATCCATTAGCAAAGCGAATGCAAGAGCAGAGCCTACGAGCAAGATCTTCTACTCAACCTCAATCACCTGCATGATATATGGATCTTACTTTTTTTACTTTAGTCTATTTTTTGATCTTATTTTGCCTCATTGCACCTCCAACTGAATTTCGCCGATCTGGCTTGACAATTGAATATATATTAAGTAGCTACTTAGGCAGTGAAAATATTGATTTTATTGGTTATCATGTCCGTCGAACCACGGCTAATTTATTATTTCATTCGTGCTTACCGCTCAGTTACTATATAATTCTAATCTTGTTAAATTATTTATCTGCTGAAAATTATCCCTTCAATCCTTGGGCTGGTGGTATTTACTGGGATGTCTACTTTTATATGTCATCATCGATAGCCTTACTAGCTATTACCCTAGGTTATTATTGGTCATCATCCAAGTGGCAACATCACCCTATTGTAACCAATTTACAACAATTTGGTCAACCCTGGCGAGTGGTGTCATCGTCGGTTAATAATGAATTTCGTCGAATTGAGAAATTTTCCTCCGGCGAATTAAACTTTTGCACCTATATCACGGATAGTTGGATTCTTAAAACATCAACTTATACTTTATTAATTGCACACAAACACGATGCTAAGTTATCGATCGTCGATAGTCAGACGTATCAGTTAGCCGTTGATAGCCCAACTGCAGTGCAAAAGCTACATATTAGGGTCAAAAGTGTTCAACGAGGTAAGGATAATAGTGGTAATGAACACCTCTGGAAAATCGACAATGACATTTTACATAGTTTACAAAGTATTCTCCATACATCTTGACACAAAACTAGGAGAACCTAGTACTCTGCGAGTAGCACTTCTTTACTAACCATGTACTGTGCGTTGATTAAAAATCATGGACATGATGCATCAAACAAATTGGATTGGATTCATCCCTTACCGTTGTATTAATGTACTCGTTTTGAAGGACGAAGATAATCGTGGTATATAATCACAAAGTAACAAGAATAGCATGCTGCTAACGGTATCATTAAAAACAGAATTGGTAACGTTGAAAGTCCGAGTATTGATCGACACCTTGCTGCTAAGTATTCCTTTCAACCTAGCATGTAACTTCTACTAAGTTAGAAACAATACTGATAGCTCAATGTAAACTACAATTCTAACCGAATTAGTCAGTGTCTAAGTCATTGCCCCATTTTTATCGATCGATCAACATACGAAATGTGACCATTTTGCCTGTTATATACCTTAATGAACGTTAATTATGAATTAGCATCAAATACTACAAAACTACTTAAGTACAAGAGAGAGAGACATTGATCATCACTGCTGTGTTAACACTTGTGGTCTTGTGAGTTTAGCATTGAGGTTAATTTAAATTACTATTGATTATCGAAATTTCTAGTTTGTGCTAAACTTATGAAAGTTAGAGTGCATTTGTTAGGCGTGATGATAGCATGACTTAATAGATTATACTCTAGAGTATAATAACGGTTATATCCGATAATGCAAGAGTTCTTTTTTGCTAATAGTTCCCCGTAGATATTGCTATTGTTTAGATTTTATTACTTCAAGCTTAGTTTAGTTTCAACAATTCTGCTAGTCGGATATTTTTGAAGAATCCTGAGAATTGGCTCAACTACATCTCTCATTTTCTTCATCCAATGTAAATGCCATCTACCGACTTTCTTTATGTCAAATGTGCAAGATTGTCTATAGGTCGACAAGTTTTTACGTTTCATTCATGAGAACAAAGATTCTCCTCAAACTCATACTTTACGGTATCTTTGCAGAAAGTGGTATTATAAAATAATAGCCAAATTATTAGCGGATTGCGTTTGTACCTGGCGTAGCAACACTTGATGCTGTAATTAACAGTATTCCTCCTTTTATTGATAACAGGAAAATGTGACTTCATCATCGTTCTTAATTCCGAAAAATATCAAGAGCTGACTGGGATGTTAGAGGAACCAATAGAAAATATGCGTAACCTAGTCATTCAGCAATCTTTAAGCGATAAGTTTGTGGTGGCTTTCAAAGAGCAAGTGATGAGAAATGTTCGCTATATTATTCCTGAAAATGCTGTAAGTTAATATAGTACAGGATTAGGTTTATTCTTGTAGCTACTAATTAATAGAATGGATGATATAAGAGCCAATATTTTAAAACTTCATTGAAATAATTTCCAAATTATAAATGCTTTTCTTCGGCGTTGATTTACATAGCCCGCACCTGAACAATGTATAGGATGTCTGACGAAATCGGCAGATGTCAAACTTCAAAAATTATGCTACCCACCGCAGGAAGGTGAATGTCGAAGCTGTTTTTGCAAGCCGATGTGGTGCTTAGATTGCATGGGTAAATGGTTCGCTTGTAGACAAGATCAGCGAAGAATTGAAACTTGGTTATCTAGTAAAGCGCCATGCCCTACTTGTCGTGCAACATTTTGCGTATTAGATGTTTGCGCGATTGAAATTTTGTAACATATTGCAAATGCGTATATAAACACTCTACTATCAATTCGATTTCAAATTAAGTTATTTGTCTTACTTTTGTCCAAACTCCTGTAGAATATTCGATGGCATAATACGATTTCCTGAGAGCATAATAATGTATGATTGGATACTGGAATATTTTTTGTTAGAATATAAATAAAGTTAGCATTGAGAAAGATGTACATTTATATCCTTTCTTGTTTTGAAATTATAAAATAATTCATTACGTAACGACTAATGCTACGGTAAAAGTAAAAAGGCCTATATGATTTCATAGATCTGAAAGTAGTCTCTTGAGTCAACGTACTGCTAAACTATGTTGTATAAATGTAATGTACTATTCAATCCTGCACTCTATTCAAATACCTGACATATTACGGAAGGCCAAGCGTAATAACACGAGGGTATATAATTTATTGTTACTCACTAACTTAAGAAATCATTAAACACGTACAGATTATTGTCCTATTCTTTCACAAAAAACACAGCCCAAAGTCCTTCAAAACCTTTGCATTTTATTAATTTTCAATAAAATATGATTAGCGTTGGAAATTGGCTTCCAGATAGTCATTACTCGTATTACAAGCCTTTATTGAAATATACTCTCTCTAATTTATTTCCATAGCGCCCAACAATTTCTGTTCTGAGCTCTGGCTCTAGATCACCAACAGCCATGGAACTTTATAATATCGAAATAAGAAAAGCCTCAATTAATATAAGACTTATAGATGGAAAGATCGCACCATACTATCATAGGGTATAGGAAAAGTGTTGAGCTGCATAAAACATATCGGTGTACTGTATACAAGAATACCTTTTTTGCGGGAAGATAGCACAGCAAGCTGGAGTCATGACAGTTAATCTGTAATTATACACATAAAATAGAACATGTTAACACATAATACAACCATTCGCCATTCGAAATACCCTTTCTGGAAAAGATTACATTTTTAATGCGTAATTTGATAATTATTAACTGTGAGGAATGCAGCTATTGATCGAAATGCCCGATTTTACTTACGCTATTCCAACTAGCACAATTTGAATTGGACCACCCATGTAAGGGTATCTCTATAGGAATTAAAAGGTTGAATTTAGAATTGTTGCCTTTTAACCATACTGTTCACTAATCTAAAGAAATAGTTATCATTTATTGTATCCGTATCATAGTATGCATCATGTACAAACCTTTAAAAATTTTCCTTTTTCCAATTTATCCATCAACCAAGCCGGTAAAACTAAAGAAATATACAGACATAAAAATCTTATATATCGTATTGAATTTATAACAACTGCCAACTGTCATTTTAGTAAAATTATTAGCCGAAATGGATCATTTATATGATTGGTACAAAAATGCATACTCATTCCTGGAGCGCACATAATAATTCTTGAAAAGACCACTTGACCAATTGCTTTTTTTGCGGCTTTCTAGTATAGAACGAATAAACCTACTTAACTCAATCTGTAAAACTATTCAGAATCAAAGGAGACCAAATTTAATCATCACCTTTGATTTGCCAACGTTATTTCCTTCATTGTCTTGCACCATTATACCTTCTGTTAGTTCACTTTGCCTCATCATTGGGATATTGATACAATTAGCAGCAGCAACGGCAGCAAAGGGCGTAAAGCGACCAATAACAGGTGGTGCTTTCTAAATAGTATTTGCAAATTTATGTAATTATTACACCAGTCTTGGCAAATCTCGGTTAAATACCTCCAAATCTCAACTCGTGTTGTTCTACAAATTTTTTGTCAGCGCAATTTAATAAGACATCCATGGAATATATTATTAAAGTTCCACTCAATGCGCTAACATTTTTACATTGATTAGTTGTACGCTTACTTTAACAAGAGAATTTAATCCAAGAGCTGTTCCAACGGCACCCGTTGTAGCACATACATACGGCAACGCTAACTCACTAAATTTCGTCAGATTAATTTTAGAGCGAATTTAAACTAAATCAAGGTTAAGCATGAAACCACACATTACCTGTAGCTCATTGATTTTCCACTTCTATTGGTGTAGTTGACTACAGCATTGAACGATTGATTTGCCCACTGCCAAAATAATACTGCTGGGGTAGTTCTATAAATAAAAAAATATTTATATCAAAGATTATAGGCAATTTCAAAATCATAAGATTTGTAGCTATAACATTTATATTATTGACGTATGTCCTACAGGCTACGTACAGTATGCACATATACTAGCAGTAATTTTACATTAGTACATTTATTTGCATGTAAAGTACCTTGAATTAATGTTGTTTCTATCATGTTTATATTTACAACAAATCAGCAATAAACATACTTATACAAGATCCAAAGTGCATGCATATCTTATCTAAATGAACCTGTAAAATGTCATCATTAGGCCGGTGATAGTCATATTGCAAGGGACCTGAGCGGACATTCTACCGATAGTTAACATTTTCTCTCCGGTTGACGGATGAAATGCGGAATCATACAACTTTTTTGCATGCCATAATTGTTCCTCAGTTGTTCCAGGTGGTTCGCTACCTAACCTGCAAGAATGCAATATAGATTTTTGGTCAATCTAGTGAAATCGGAAAAAGAGGATGTCTAGGATGTCATTTCATTATTAGCTCTGTTCAATGCAATATTTATTTCTTATCATTATCCAGCGTACTTGTAAGATTGTACCAAGTCTTTGGCCGCATCCAATTGTTTCTCGCTTACAAAGGCATTTCTTGGATCAGTAGTTTGCAGGAAATGCTTAAATCGGCCGATAAATGTCTCTTGACTCCATCGAGGCTTACTTAAATCTATTCTAGGCTTTTGAAGGCCATCAACTATTCCTTTGTCGGTTTGTAAGTTAGGATTGGAATTACTCATAGTTACCTAATTCTACGAAGATAATATTTCAGATGGTAAATTATCGCATCCTATCATACCATACCGTACAGGGTTAATGATTGCAATTTTAACGAAGAGCATTAAAAGTATAAAATGGATATTTTCACAACTTGCTTGGTTAGTAAGGACCCATTTAACCTTATCGCCAAAGCAAGTTATCGTACAGTAGCTCGAGCAAATTATGCGATAAGTTTGTTAGATGGATTAATTATCAAATACTGTCGATCAGGGCGACCTTTCGTATTCATTAACTGTCTAAGAGTTATTTTTAGGGATAGGTATACAAGCACGAGTTAAGCATTAGACAGGTAATTCACAATCTACTATTGGGGAGTAACATTCGTGTAAATCAACGTGTAAAGAAATTTGCCTAAACACATAGCACTACTGATGCAGTCTATTTAGGGACTGGGATCGTGGAGACTTGACCGGCTACTGGACATTAATATTTACCTTGCTGCTCAGTGTACAATATCAATAGATTATTTACTTATGCTACAAATGGAAGATGCGATACGGTAAAATAACGTGCCGAATAACATGTAACATTCTACCGTATGGATGTACGAGAGGATATGCACTAACAGTGTAACGAAAATTTCAACATAAGTATGAGAGTCTCCATAAAGAGTTCTATGGCAATTTTGCTATTCCACTATAGCGGTAGAACTCATGATTTGAAAGTAAGACTTGAAAGGATTGTTTGCGAATTATCATCTTTACTATACAGATTATTAACTTTGTAACGAGTATTAACACAACCTGGCTATTACAATTTAACGTAGTAAACAACGGCATAACCCCTAAGGCATATTTCATGGCTAAGAAAGCCAACACCCATGTATTCAATCACTCGTTACAATTAATTAACTACGCGTCAATTAATTAATGAAGACAAGCCGCCGAAGCGCATGACTACCTGTAATGGGATCATAGTTATTTTTATTTTCAATTTACTTGGCAAGGATGAGTTAAAATTGAAAACTAAAAGGCGTTATCTATGTCATCATGGATACAGATTAATGAAGTCAAAGGCAGCAGTCGAAAGGTGTCCAATCCCCTCGAAATGTAGCCATAGTTACCCGTACTGTATTGATTTAGTGATAGAGTACGACATCAATTTGTGTGGAAAGCTGTTGATCAAGAGGGGTTCGTTGGAACTAAGTAAATGATAAATACTAACGTCGTATAAACGGTAATCTGTAGAAAATCTTATTTCTGTCGACAAGTATGAGTCGGTTAGCAATTGCTAAAATTGTATAAGGCCATTGATTAGCAAATGTTACTCATTGAAGTTGAATACTGGCTACAATGACGACTACAAACATCACGCGTTAGACTAACTTAGCCAGCGTTATTAATTCAATTGAAGGATAACGTTCCAATATTGATTACGCCAACTGTTGTCAACCGTAGTGGTACTCCGTAAAGTCGATGGTCAAGGATGCGTTCGATTTATCTTGTTAATATAGTTTCAGCGCTGTATGAAAGCACAAAGATGCAGTAGTTTATGATTATGTCATGTGAAACAAAAACAGAGGGATTATTAAATGATATTTAATTCTAGCGATGACAACCCCTATCCCTCGATAAGGGATTTCGTAGTGGATGTGTTATGGCGATTACTATATATTTTTAAATGTCAACGCTTCCAATTGATCATTTCATCAATCCGTACGTTAATCTACAGTCTATATCAGCAGTAAATAAGAAGAATTGTAGAGCAAATGGAATTACTAATTTAAAGACGGAACTACTACGCAATTCACGCTTCGATTGGTAAATAATTTAAATCGCATCCGGTAGTCTTCTATTTCTAAGTAGGATAATGATTTGAATTGGTCAATGTCAACCTGTTCAATCAACACATAGAGCATCGTCCACTTCTTGTACAAGTTGACGTTGAAGGAGACATTGTAATCGATGAAAATCTTTCAAATAAAGCAACTGTACAAGTTGATCATGGAATAAATAATGATGTCAATCCTATCAACGCTACTTTCAACAGCGATGGAAAATTTGAATGGTAGACTAGATAAATTGATCGATCAACTTCCACTACATGATGAATGAAAAGTGGATCTTTGCCTATACGACAGGAATGCAGTTTAACATTGCAATAGGGTTCATCGTCGTGACTAGAGGGGGAGATCGAAAACGAACAATTTATTGAATTCATAACAACATTAGAGTATAGGACTGGCAAGACAGCCAGCCATTGGTGAAACAGGTCAGAATATGTATGGATTTATTTTTCACTTCTATTTGCATCAATTCTTATTTTGGGAGTGGAATTAATATACTGTACCGTCTATCCATTAAATAAACAGTACGGGTTGACGTCGTTGATCAAGTCATCAAGTCCATGATTATTAAACGCATTGACAACACACAAGGCATTGCAAGAGGGAATAGTATACCGATACCGTCGATAGGGAAGATCAACAAATAGCTTACCCACTTAGCATGCACTTATTTTACAGCGGAGTAGTTGCACCTACTTCAACTAGCGTTCTTGCTCGTTCACTTCACTTCAATGGATTGGATAGGAATCTCACAAATAGCTTACCCACTTAACATACAGTTATTCTACAGTAGTTGCATCTACTTCAACTAGCGTTCTTGCTCATTCACTTCACTTCAATGGATTGGATAGGAATCTCACAAATAGCTTACCCACTTAGCATGCAGTTATTTTACAGTAGAGTAGTTGCACCTACTTCAACTAGCGTTCTTGCTCATTCACTTCACTTCCATGGATTGGATAGGAATCTCACAAATAGCTTACCCACTTAACATACAGTTATTCTACAGTAGTTGCATCTATTTCAACTTGCATTCTTGCTCATTCTTGAATTTTACTCACTCACTTCACTTCAACGGATTGGATAGGAGGAGATAAAAGTGCAATCAACAGGTCAGAGTCTAGTACAAGATGGACATTATTGAAAGGAAATTACCCTACCTGATCCAGGTCAATCAATGGTTTGGAACGATATGAACACTGTCTATACAGTCGGTGAACAGCAGTAAATCGTCTCGATTGAATATTGTAGATGACAAATGCGATTCTCCAATGGCAATGATGAGATCAACACCTGCAAAGTGGAATGGCCAACTGCAAAAGGCAAATGGATTTGCAACTGCTGTAGCACCAGTTGGAGTCCTGTCGTCAACGTCAGTATTGACTTAGTATAATTTACTTCCCGTGGGGTGTAAATCAAGGTCTAAGGACAACACCCAATGATCTTGTCGATACTGGACGCCGTTCCGGTCCAGTCCAGTCCGGTCCAGTACCAGTCTAGGATCGTCCTGGACCATTCTTGTGGACTACTACAATGAGAACGAGGACTGGACCGGACTGGACGTACCGACGTCGAAGTACCTTGGACCTGTACTGAGTCTACTGACTGTACTGTACTGAGTCTACTCATCACTCTCTCAGACAGACGGACTTTTCTCAACCAATGTACATTGTACTGTAGTTATGAATAACGCCAAATGGCTACTGAGTGTACTCATCACTCCCTCAGACAGACGGACTTTTCTCAACCAATCTAGTTATGAATAACGCCAAATGGCTACTGAGTACAGATCTTGTATGTTTGTTTTCTCAATCACTGGTGCTCATTGTAATAACATGGACGATCTTATATCACTGTCTCCAAGTGGAAGTGAGTAACACCAGATAATCAGATTGAGCGTAATATTACTTCATGTAGCCTAAATCAGTTTGTTCAAAATCGACCATTTGCATACTAAAGTACTGTTACAACGGCATAACCCAGTGTTTGACACAGAGATGAGGCCGACAATGTCCGTCCATCTGAGAGTAAGGACAGTATACTGTACTGCAATCAGTCGATGTCTCTCGTCCATATTAGACACAGTACAATACTACCGTATACTGTAGAGTACAGTGTGTAGTACTGTAGCCAAAAGAAGGCCTGGTTCACAAGACTCAAAATGAGCCAACTGACTAGATTACTGGTCATGTCTCTCATCCACACTAAAGACCCTGTATGACTCTCATCTACTGTACAGTGTGTATCCAAGTATTTTGTCACTTTGAAAAGCATCAACCGGTGATCTTAATAAGCAAATACTGACTATTATTATATCATTCTATTATAGCTCTACTGTATTTTTAAAGTGACAAAATACATTCTGGTACACCCTGTTTCCTCCTGTACAGTGTACACTGTACAGTACAGTAGAGTACAATACTAGACTGTAGAATACAGTATGTAGTATTGTAGTCAAAGGAAGGCCTCGTTCACAAGACTCAAAATGAGCCAACTGACTATTTTACTGGTCATTTCAACTGAAATGCCGATCCATCTGAGAGTACATTAATGACTGTGTAGTACTTTAGAATCAGTCCAAGTCTCTCATCCACACTGTACTGTACTGTAGTCAAAAGAAGGCCTCGTTTACAAGACTCAAAATGAGCCAACTGACTATTTTACTGGTCATTACAACTGAAACGCCGATCCATCTGAGTGAGAGTACAGTACTGTACAGTACAGTACAGTATTATATCAGTCCATGTCCCTCATCCACACTGTACTGTACTGTAGAATAGAGTATATAGTACTGTAGGGTACAGTACTGCACTGCACTCAAAAGAAAGCCTCGTTTACTCCACTAAAATAAGCCAAACTGACCATTTTACTGGTCATTTCAACTGAAACGCCGATACGAAACGATACACTAGACTGTGCACGATTGCCATCCCCATCAGCTGCTCGTTTGGTTTCCAGTGTGTCCGTCCAAGCTTTCCGATACCAACAGCTGTATAGTATACTGTGTATAGTGTATAGGACGCAGACACCTCCAACGTAGTATAGTCCACACTAGGCATTGCCCACAGTCAATCCATTCGCTGGCTACCCAACCCGAACGTGATTGAAGACCGAGGTTGGCCAGCTTGAACTAGTTGCTGGCGTTGGTCGATCCTTTTTCCACACTTGATCATCCAAATTCATTTCAATCAACAACTCGGCCAGTTAATCAAGACTGACTAAGGCTCAAATGTCTGGAACAAAGGTAAAATGACCAGTTGATTGAATCATGTAGCATGTACTTTTAGTCCATAGCGATTGCAAAGTGTTGAGAGCCTAGACTGGCATGTCGATACATTGTCATAGTAACGATCGATCGTCATACTTTCAACTAACGTGATGGATGGCTATGTCTATTCTAGAGTGGTGCAACCTACCTTATTGCTGTTATTAAGAGTCTTTCTATAAGGTAAGAACACTTGCTAGTTGTAGCAATGGGTAACTTGTGCTCTAGCCTCTCCCATAGACACTAGCTCGTACAATATAAATCATTTTTAATAGCCTTTCATTGTACTGTGTGCTGTCTAACGTATATTCAAACAAGGCGAGCGCAAAACCTGAACAAAACAATCATCCCATACAAGACTTGGTTAAAATGATATTTACTAGTAGATAGTATTAAAAGAAACGTTTCAATAACGCTGTGTATAATGTATGCAACCCTATTTTCCACTCACTACAGTTCAGTGCAGTCATTTGTAACGTTGACGCTGTGTGAACTTGATCGACTGCAGCATATCGACAGTGTCGAGCTGGCTGAGTCATGTAGCCAGTGACCCAGTTTTCAAACGATGTAAAGTAAATTTCCACTTGTAGTCTATTTCTATTTTCCAACGCTATCTAGTCGTACTAAGTGCATACTGATGGATGGAATCAATCTCATTCCATAAGTGAAAAAAAAATGTCAATTAAGTTTAAATTCATTGTATTTATTAGTGGAGGCGATAAACACCATCGCGATGATGAAAAGGCTCGGCTAGAAAGTGAATTTACAGCTTGCGATGATAAATTAGAACGACTAATTGCTGGTAAGTTGATGTGAAATAGAATTTATAATAGAAATACGAGATGTTACATATTCGTCCTGATTAAGTTTTGTCATGACGTAGTTGTAGTCTAAAGATAAACACTGGAGATGTTCTATCCTTATTGTGGAGTAATCATAAATGGTTTAGGATTTCTATTCTTCTGGAAATGGTAGTCTAAAATATAAATACTACAGACGTCATGTCCTCATTTTGTCGTATTCGTAGATGAGTTACTACTCTTAAAGTACTTGAGACACATGACCCTTATTCTGTAGTAGCCATAGGTAGCTCCAATATGTTATTCTTCTGGAAAGAGAAAACAAACAGACTATCTAGCTTAATAGCCTGTTTCTTATCTCACTATCGTAAGAGATTCACATTAAATATTAAACAAATCTACTGACCTTGCGCTTTTAAACAGAAAATTATGATCAACTTCAAGCTGCTTTGCAGGCTTTCACAGGAATTAGGAAGCATGTAACAGGTAATATGTTCAATTATACCAGAAATAGGCTTGATGCAAGGGTTGATACACCCACATTGATTCAACTATATTATTAAAAACAGGCAAATACTAGATCAAGTTTCCCGTATTACTATATCAAAAGTAGTATAACGATAGATTATAGTAAACATTACAACAACAATTCGCATCAAAATTAGTAACTACTTCATTGTAACTGTCTCCTATCACACAATAAGGCTACATTATTAATAGTTTAAAAAAATCACCTTAAATAGCTAACTTGGATGATATCCTATAAATGTCGTTTTCAGATTCTTTAGAAACTGTAAAGCAGTTAAAGTCCAAGTTGATAGCTTGTAAAGAGTTACTAAGCTACAGGCGTGAAGACTTGTTTAAGCCTTGGATGGATAGTGTTGAAGAAAAGCAGAAAATAAAGATATTAGATAAAATGTATGTGTTCATTTGTGAGAATTTTGTCAGACTGTAGTCATATCATTATTTTTGACATTTATTTATGGCAAAAACTGCTTCTTAACGACTAACTGTTTAGTGTTCTCATCAAGTGATAAAATTCGAAGTACGCCCGAACAGTTTGATAAATATGTGGCAGAAAAACGCTATCTGCATGCAACAGGACTACTTGTAACGACATGTAAGAATTCATACGTTTAGCAGAGTTATGCTAACAAAATGGAACTCATTTTTACTGAAATATTACAGTAGAATCATTAGACGGCCAGCTAAAATCCATTGAAGGCTTAAGAGAACTGAAGGCGGAATTACGGACTAGAAAAGAAGTAAATTTGCTAATTTTCAACTTCAATACATACTATTTTTCAGACCGATTGCCTTCCTTTGCTAACTTTGATCTCGTACTATAGAAAATGCACGAAACGTTGATTGAGGAATTAAGTAACCAAATATATGTAAGATCCGTGAAAGATATTGAGACCAACAAGATAACTGAAGGTAGAGTTACTTATGGACGTCATTGATCTTCAAGTTTGTTAACATGACCAAATTATTTTAAATTTCATAGCTGAGAATGACGCTTCAAGGAAGAGAGCAAAAACTAGAACAGCGATAAGTTAGTTTTCTATCATTTATATAATTGTTTGATTATCAATATGTCTTAGGAAAGTGTGCCCCACCTAATATCACAAACTTAATACTATGCAGGGAACATGATACTACATGATCGATCTTCAGAAAGACATGCTATCAGAGTAATTATGATTGTCAATAACAAATCATGTGCAGAATGATGTCCTATCAATTTCATTTTGTCTATCATAACTACGTACTTCTGCTTGTAACTACTAAGCAGCCGAAGCTTAATATCAGTTCTGTCCATTTATCTATTTAGGGGATGGAAGATTTATTGCAGTCGCAGCCGGAAGATGATGGCGAATACTTTGTCAATGTTATTGTTGAAGCATTGAATCTATTAGGAAAAATACCGGACGCTATTGTAACTATTGAAAGTAGAATCAAGCGTGAAATTCAAATGATCATAAAGAAAACTAAAGCTCAAATTTCTGATAAGTAAGTTCTATTCTACGATGAGAGTAATGTGTTTGAGAATGATATCCATTATACGTTACTGAGACATGTTACTATGATTATGTTATAATTTAGCCCACGATATAAAGCAATGAGTGCCGGTGATGCACAAATTCTTTTAGAGTTTCTTAACCTTTTATTTAAGAAATTTTGTGCAGTTACCAAAGCACATGAAGTAGCTGCGGATGCTATTGATAAATCACTGGTATTTGCTAATAACATCATAAAATCTCATTATCATTAATTAAAGTGATCTAAGGCTATTTTCTTCGTTATTTTAGAGTGGTTCCAATGTTACACAAAATGGTATTGTGTAATTTTCTTATTTACAACTTATTCGCTATGTCTAAATTATGATCGCTATATACTTAATGATAAAATTAATTTTGTATAGAAAATATTGCTGTTTATCGTGTAGCTGATGTTTGGTCGGAGATGCAATATGCTGTAAGGGATACATTAGAAATACAGATCTATAGATGCATCTAAGCATATTATTTAAGTTTCTTTGATGACCACATTTGATGAAAATATGATTTGGATTCTATGCCTGTAGGTACAAAACATTCTGAATCAATACTTAGATGTGACGAATACTGCTGCTTCTTTGCAAATTAGAGCGCAAACGTATAAAGAAGCATCCATGTATGCTTAAGTTACAAATTGAAATTTATCAATTAGAGTAGATACGATAAGCATTGATTTCGTGGGTCGACAATAATTGATGTTACCAAATTTATAGTAATGTTGCAGAATACTACACGCAACAAGGTAGATTTCTACGAACCGGTCCAAAACCGCAGAAAAAGGTTGCGCCTTTGATTCTTTTGGTCAAAATGAGCGCAACAGTTAGATAAGACAATTGATATTATTTCAAATTATAGGGGCCGCTCTTTCGTTTCGATAATTCTTCCCATGCTATCACAATGAGTAGCTACCTAATGGAAAAAAAGTTACAAGATCCTATTGCTGCTATGGTTATTTAATTGATATTTTAATTATTTACGAGTTGCCATTTTATTACTTTCACGCAAGCTGATATTATAAGTATATAATTGATATTAGGAGGACTACGATGTTGATATTAAGTTACCTTGTACACCCCATGCAAACCACATTAACGGTTAGAATTACCTAATGCATTATTCATGACAATGCCTGTAATACTTTCGAAGCTTTTATTTGTTACTTATCCGTCTATGTGTTGTTTTTTGGCAAATAGCTGTATACAAGGGATTGTGCTCTTTTATCGCCAAGGCTGAAGAAAATCTAGGTCTTAAAGAAGGGTTAGGCGCTGTATAATGAAATCATTTTGAAACTGCTGTGTATGAAGAACTATCTAACTTATATAATATTTATTTTGTAGGAACCATTGCCCACTGTTTCTGTTTGTAGACGCTTTCATTTCTGATATCTATCTTAGAAAAATCCAATTGCAAGTGAAAGAGAAAATCGACTCAGTTGTGAAAGGTTATACCATATAAACTTTTGTGTTAATAATTACCCTAATTATTATTACCTAAAATTGAGCTGATCACTAGTTCTTTGTTTTTTTTGCAGGTGTGAACGCTTTAAAAAATATGATTGACATGCATACGCAAAAATTATTGAAACTGGCCAGACCAATTTTACATAGTACAGTCGTTATCCATACCGTCATACATGATTTAGTTGATATGATACATGATTTACCAAGATACTGCCCAAAAATTGTCGATCTTTTGCTTGAAGTGATTACCAATTATCGAGATGTAATTGCAGAAATTTATAACGGTAGGCGTTAATTATTCGGTGATGGGTCTATTAATCAACAAAATTGAAACAGCAATTAACGGTTTCTCATCCTAATGATTTTTCTTGCAGGTGTACTGCGCTTTGCATCTGACGGCGAAACTAAAGTTATCAGCGCTAAGTGGGCCAAAGATGCGTATATTAGCAATTTATTAAAGTATTGCACCTAATAGATTGCTATCGACAAATTTAGAATTTTTATAAACTTTTGATATAACATTAAAAGAGTTTTGCTACGTTATTGTATATTACATTGGTTAGATCCTTGCCAAGCTGGAAAAATATCATGTCCGCTTATAGTGAAGAAACAGTAAGTAGATTAGAAAAGTACTTTAATAGTTAGTAAACAATATTAGTTTTACTTATGCCAAAAAATTTATACGGGTACAATCCCTAGTTTTACAACATTAAACTTTATCTTTCTTGATTACTTTTCAAGAACGTGGATGATGAAAGTGTAACTACGGACCGAAACCAACAAGTAATCTCCTTATTGTCTAGCGAAACCGCTACAATTACTTTTTATAGTATTCACGCAGCAATAACTTGATGCTTTTGTAACCTTTAAATAAGGAATCCGAGTATTTATCCAATAATTTAAGTAGTGAAATGTTGCAAAAAGAAGAAATATTAAGCGAATATGATGATTTAAGAATGTTGGGAAACTTGCACGAAAGCCTGGTAGGTTTATCATTGTCATACTGAGGAGTTTTGCTGAAAGAAATAATTTCTTCTAAACACGTATTGTAATGATAATTTTTAGGTTTGGTTTAGTGATGCGCTGCTATCATTTTGTGATGTTCTGAAACATAGCATTCCTAAGAACACATCAGAATCTCAGAAACTTAATCAAGACGAGGTACAGTATCTTTTGACACTAAAAACTATTTTTATGCATCGTACGAAATCTAGCGCTAACTTAACTGTTGTAATGATCTAGGGCAATAGCGTCGTAGCAAATAGCATAAGGTAATGTGTTTGAATGGAATAATTAATTGTCAATTGATATTTTATTCTTGACTTTAAAGACAGATTACTTTTATGTTATTATCAATAGCTCACTTAACAAGTTATCGGAGGATTTTAAGGAAATTTCGGAAACTTGCCTCCTTGTTTTACATTTGGAAGTGCGGTGTCACTGCTTCTTCTATTTAAGTCGTGCTACAAAGATTGTAAGTCAGTATGACATTTTATGAATCGATATTGTAGAGTATAACTGTTATAAGTTATTTCTGAGCACTAGATGAATATTTATTGATTTTTTTGATGATATTTCTTGGACATTTATCGTTAACTGAAAAGGACGTACGATTATCTATCTATTTAATTTTCTTAGTCAAGCTACGAATGCACTGTTGATGCCTTGGATCCCGATCCTCTAGTTATTGGTTTAAATAAGGATTTAGCCCGCATTGAAGACACGATGTCTACTTGTTTGCACCCTAATAAATTAAGGTAATGTTGAGTTTTGTTTATTTATTCAAACGCCATTTGCTAATTTCTTAAGCAAATAAAGTTTATTGAATTACTTTAGTCTAATAAGAGTATGGTATACATTAATTTGTAAATTTTTTAATTGATAGATATCTGTTTGATGGTTTGGGAAGCCTTTTGTCGACATTTATGATATCCAGCGCTAGTTATATAAAGAAATTAAATTCTAATGGCATCGAAAAAATGTACTTTATCTTTCATAACTATGTCTCACAGTATCTGAAGTACCAATATTGATAATGTTTTGTATTTTCTTGGGTTAATATGATTTTGTTTTATGCGATATTATACTGCAGGTGCCGTAATATATTTGCTCTTCAACAAAACTTAAATAATATCACCTTGAGTAGAGAAATTGCTTTGGATCGGTGTCGACAGTATTACGAACTTCTAAATTTATCTACTGACGTAAGCTTATCTTTCTCTTCATTCTTGTAAACTATTAGATTAAATTTTTCTTACTTGCAACGTATCTTCCAACGCTGAATCTGATTCATTACTATTTCGTAGGATATCATTCAATGCATAATTGATAAAGGCAGGCTATATAAAGACACTGAATATATTAACCTTCTGACGTTGCAATCACGCCGTACTAGTTTTAGTGGCAGGAGAGATTTTAAAGCAAAGATTAAGCGGCTGCAAGAAGTTCTAAAGGAAATTGCTTAGGACGCTTATTGGCGACATAGGCTGCATGTGTTAATAATATCATCATCAGCCATGTGTAATATTAAATTTTAGGGTTAATCTAAACGCAATGTACAGTTTTAAAACAACTTCTCATTTGTAAATTATAACTGTCGTAGAATACTGCTATAAAGTATAGAAGCATAGATATAAAATCTTCATATAATCACAATTAAAACCCGATTATGGTGCGAAATATCTAAAATTAAAAATGACGAATCACATTAATTCATGACACACACTTCAAGTAGCACTAGCAAGACGGACCACAAATTTCAATACCTGCATGTTTGTCTTAATTTTACTAGACTACCTTGAGATTTTAAATCTAATCATTTCGGTTTGTATTTTATACCAATAGATTAAATAGCTAATCAGTTCCTTAAATTAAATAGATTTTGAGGTATACAGAAAAAGTAAATATATTTAGTGAATGAAAATACATTATCGAACTTTTTTGTTTGATTGAGTTATTCTGTTTTATAAGTCTAGCAATATATATAAATAAAGATGGTGATCCAACTTTTAATCAACTGGAAGCGCAGTAAAATTACACAAGGCATCGGCTTTTTCAGTAAGAAATAAGCTCCGATGGTAATTAAATTTTTCTTATTGACTGGAGCTGTAATTATCTATAGAACCCATGAGAACAAATAACTCTACTTTGCTAGCAACAGCTTTAGCCAGCAACGATATATCAATTAATAATTATTAGTCTTATGTGATGCATAGATTTTAATCCCGTAGAAGTACCGTAAATAAAATAGCTACCGGATGTTTAAATGTGCTTTCTCTCTCTCTATGACCCGTTTTATACTTTAACCGTTACAATCACTATTATACGTTAAGAAGTTAATAATGTATTAAGTTAGATATTTTTAAGCACTTATTATATAATCTGAATGAGATCTAATTTGGAGCCAAACTTATAAAATTTGTGTATTATCTACAGTACGATCGATGTGAAAGTACTTGACCCATGCAGTACCCGTAGTGCTTCAAAATATGGCTAAGTGTTTCCATCCACTACTCTAAAAATTAATTATCCAGAAAAATTTGTTGGTAGTAGATTCTTGTGATAACTTTGACCTACTTCATGCTATCCATAAATGAAATGCAAACACAGTTTATTCAAAATTTTGGATTGAATGATGAAGGTATCATTGAAATAGATATTATTATAGCGAACAATATCGTTATAAGCCTTACCATTACTAACAGTCTGCATAATTCGTGATATTCTAGGATTTAACAAATCGACGCAACTCTAGTAAGTATTAATTACAATATGATATACTGCACATTGTACAGTGCACAATCAATCAATTATTTCTGAAGATTTTAACTTTCGCTTTCATAAAATAGCAGGTAATTCCTTCAACAACAAGAGCGCTAGATAAATATTTGATGATATTAATATACGTACATAGTGATAGTATCTGATTGGTAGCCGGTGTTAAATTGACTATTCTGGTGTCTCATTAAGTACAGAAATTCATATATTATTCCAATTTCTATAGAACAGTAGGCATTGTTTGCACAACTATGTAATGAGATTTAGGGCGTCGTAATTAATCAGCATTGTCTGCTGACAGTACATTGCTACCTAGCTGAATTCATCAACTTTATGAAATAGTTATTATAGCTCCTTTAGCTTGGGTGCTTTATGAGCACTATGCTTAACAATGTAATACCTTAAAACTACATTGCTTTAAATATAAATGCAGAGATAACGCAATAGCTTTAAAAAATTGAGATTAACTTATATTTGCAACTGTCCAGTGCAGCATTCCATTAACTCTAGTTTGAAATGTACCCATATGATAGAAGCCTTAAAAATTATAACCAATAATTTTTGTCCTTATTCGCGATTATTCTATACAATATTCCAATATTCCAATTTCTTTTATATTTTATTCACATGATACACAATGCATCAAAACTGTAAAATAACTGTTTAGTTTTTTCGAAAATTTGTATCCGCAAACTTCAGTCACACGATAGAACACCTATAATTTCAAATAATGTGAGCGATTATTAAAAATCTCGGATTATAAGTTATTGCGTTGACCAGGCTATTGAATACTTTTTTTTATAAATTGCATTGCCATCAAACTCAAATTTAATACGTGATATAAAAAATAGCGTCGTCAAATACGTATAGTCTAGACCCTTTAGAATCTATTAAACAGAAATATTTATAAAAATATATTCTTATAATTATATGAACAAATGGATATACTGACTTCACTACAGTTGAGTGATAAGATTCTAATTAATGTAGGCAGTTCTTGAATATCCAATATGATAATGAATTCAATATGTATAATGAATAGGTAGAATTGTCTTTAATTTTGATATGCGCCATTAATGATCTTTTAGATTAAATAAAACTCCTATCTAGTACTATTCGAAGCTGTTCCTTATTCACTCTCATAATAGTAGACTTTAATAACTACACTACATCTATCTTTGCTATAAATTTAGAAAAATAGCCAACTATTGATATTGACAACAAGTTTTCGCTCATGGACTAAATGTCTATTACGGATCTGATCTGCGCAAAGTACGGTATGTATTTCCTTATTGCGGTTTACATCTGCATTACCCGACTATACTTATTGAAATTTTATTAAAAGATTGAAATATTACCACTTCTTACGCTGAATTATAATTAAAGCAGCGGTTTTCGATTTTTAATTATGTATTGGATATTTAACTATATCTGCATGAAGTATTGTTATCCTGTTTTCGTATTTACTTACGATGATATATCGATCATGAATAGAATTGATTAGAATTTATATTTTATTCTACCATTCTATCGTTTGAACGACATGAAGAGATACGCTAATGAATATTCAAATAGTATAGATCAAGGCTTTTCTTATAAATAGCATAATAAAGTAACCAAGGTTACACTTTAATCTATTCACATAAAAGCTTAAGTTTTAAAGGCTAAGTTGAATTGTAGTTGGAAGTGAAGAAAATTAATTGTCTAATTGATCATTTGTATTAGACTATAATACAACAGTTTTTAATTTTACAATAAAGAGTAAGGATATAATAGGCAAGACATTGAGCCATCTTCGATCAATAATCGTTATTTTTATAGGTTATGCAATTAAGTTAAACACTAAGACAGTCTATTAATGCTTATCGTGCATAATTTTTGGATGAAGTAGAAGTGGGAAGGTTGAATGAGAAGAACTACTATGATCAACCAATTACGTAATTTTTATAAACTATTTAACGAGAGTGTACGATTGACATAGTTTTATTCTTTCTTGTTGCTACTCCATTTTCTAAATCATCACGCACATCATTCTAGGAGTGGACATCTGTTTTCTCACTATTCAATTTAATAATTGATCCTTTCCTAGGTCCTGCTGTTAATTACAAAATATAACAAATTGATTTTATTTAGGTGAAACTAAATGATTGATTGTATTATTGATAACGAGAAGGATTTAAAATAACCTTCAAATTTCTTTTTGAATACAATTCATCTCTACTGTACCTTTTGATCGTATTCAACATTTTTCAGATTGCAAGTGTATAGAAATATTGCATCTTAAAAGATATACCGTTAAAAGTTCAATTATAACATTGGTATTGCTGGTAGACGTTTCAGAATCTAAGAATCGCTGTATACGATAGTAGCTGTGGTAAAAAGTGGAAAGATTCAAGCTTTATCTCCCGATTAAACATTTAAACATAAATGGGTGCAGCACATCATAAAGCTTCCGAAGACCTTGGAGAAACTATCTTACCTATTGGTGTCACAGAAGTCGATCAATTTTTCGCTAGTTCCAATAACTACGTTATCTTAGTTCGAAATTTAAAAAGCGCTTTAGATAAACGATTAAAAAAATTTGATCATTTTCAAACGCATAGTCTTCCCGATGATTGCTATGAATCTTTTAAGATATCACTGACTTATTTTGTCGATCATTTACCGGTCCATGAAGTTAAAATCGAAGAAGACGGCCAAAATGGTGGTTTACAGCTTATTGCGGACAATAAGAGACTATTTGGCAATATGATCGATATCCACCAAGCTTTGCAACAATTATTAGAAATATCGCGTAATGTTACTGATCATACACCAGAATTTATCGATAAGTTGAAGGAAATTATTAGCGATAGTGAAGAATTTGTTGCCAATTCAAGAACTTTAGCCCATCAAGCTGGCTTGAAAGAGGAAGATATAAAAATTGCATCTAATCGGTTTATTAACAATGTTAAAATTATTAATCAATCATTGGCTGACTGTTACATCATGTCTGAGTGTGCTAAACACATTAACCGTGATGTAAAGTTACATATTGGTAAAGTTTAAGTAATTTTTTTCTGAATAATGGAATTGATTCATTTTGCACTATAATGAAAATCATCTGTCTATACATTTGTCATTATTATTACCATGCGTGGTTATCATTGCCATTTTACGATAAAATATTTCAGTATATTATCTCTGCCTTCTACTGTATTAAGTATAAATTCAATTTTTTATCTGATAGTTTTGCAATTGACATTATGGAGTACATGATCTCGAACGAATCCGAAAGAATATGATTGAATAGTATAATTCCGAATCAGAAAAATTTTCAATGTTATTTCAATAAACCCTTTCTGGTTAACCTAAGTAATATTTAATCGATATCATTTATGTCAGTATTAACTTATTATTTGAAATATTAGTAATGTCTACTGACATCTTCAATTATTAATGGATAATCAACTAAAATCTTAACGCTAGAGCTTATGGTAAAGTATTGATTTGTCAAATTACCAGTGGTTATCTTACAGCATCATCAGTTTCCTTGATATTCTTGATCCATTTATTAAAAGATCTTCAATTCTTGTTAACTCTGTCATATAAGGGCCATCTAATGATATTGATGACGAAGTAAGTCATGCATATTTCAAGTTAAGCTAAACAATATAGGACATGAATGATCTTGCTTCTAGTGGTATCGTTAGAATCGTTTGACTGAATTTAGCATTTTGCAAATCTATCGTATTAATGGCTCATTTAGCCTTTCATCGAAGTTCAATTATTTTGCTTGATTTTTCTTAGACTGTAACTTGAATATTATCAGTAATTGAAAAACATTCTATCTTACTTCAAACAGCTACTAATAGTTTAACTGCCAACCATTTTATATGCTATCTATCCTTACTATAGTCAATCAACTTTTCATCTAAAAATCTCCATGCCCATGAAATCATACTAACTGCTATGTCAGTAACGGCTATTCTATTTTATCTCATTAGATAAGATTAAAAACATAATCATCCGTAATAAGGAATACGATCCATTATCATTAAGAATAACTCATAGAATTAGATGTTTAAAGTTCTCTTCATTGTTAATAATTATTATACTGACTAATTTCAAGAATGATAATGTCGTTATTCATTTCAAATAAAGTAGAGTTCTTATTGCAAATATAGCATCAAATTGGTTGTAAATTCTAGACTAGATTACTTCACATTTTATAAATTTAGACACTTACTTAATTATCTTTGCCTATGAGCATTATCAGTGCAGATTTATATGATGATCTCTGATATTTGAAAACAAAATTTTCTCTATCCTTCTAGGGTCTAGTGGTAGAAATTTGTCAACATATTAAAACCTTTTACACCTTCACTAGTTTTCAATAATAATAATATCGCTTACTCATAACACATTAAACAAGATTCTTATCGCAAATATTACATCAAATTTGTCTAGTACAAATTTAGACATTTTATTTTATTTCGTATCCTTGCTAACGAGCATGATGAGCATAGATTACTATGATAATCTCGGATATTTTAAAAACATATTTTTCTCTATTTCTGATATTACAGACTGATAAAGATGCGTCAACATATCAAAATCTTTTACATTCGCATTATTAGTATACAATTTAGCCTCTATGTGTGGCAATGACTATCTTAAATCCTATTTTAGTAGAAGAAAGGATAAAAATGGAAGAAAAAATTAAAAATAGGTATTTTAAATCTATATTTGTTCTAAAACAAAATCGTGATCCAGTTTATTTATCTGATATATCTTTGTTTAAAGTTTCTATTGGCTGCTTCTTCTGTTCTCATTTCAGTCCTCTATGGAGAATTTAATTCGAATTACTTTTAATGAATACATTTACTTAGATTATAAGATATACAAATTATTCGGTCTACAGTAATTTCAAATTTAGTTATTGTCCAGTCAAACTTCATGCCTTCATTACATTAATCAGGAACTACTTATCGAAGTACTACTTCCATTTCGAGAATAAGTAAATCCGTAAGTCATAAAATAAATAGTAATTGTAAACGTCAAATAAACGCAAATATTGACTATCATTTGGCTAAAATAAATAACAATTGTCATTCATACGATGTAAAATTGGACTATGAAATAAAAGAAAAATTACTAAGAGAACGATAACTAGTATTATTTTAATTAACAACTTACTATTCATACTATCAATATACCGAATTTTAGATACCTGACACTATCATTTCTTCAATTTATTATCTACACTATTTAATACTGTACTATAAACATCATGTATATTACTCGCTAAAAGTACTCGAATGGACTTATAGTACCTTACAAGAATTTCTTTAGATATTGAAAGTTATAAATTCAGTTGAGGAGAGATCTTTTTGAAGTGATCATTTTTACTTCACAATCCTTACAATAACGGCTATCTGTATGAATTAGTTTCTAATAGAATCGTGTTTCATATAATCATTACTGAAACAGTATATTCTAAGAAATTATTAAGATATTATTAAATCTTTCCAAGTTTTCATTAATCAAGGGTATGAATAAGGTTTTTCATATGAATATCACACTCCGAGTAGTCATAACACCAAATATTGTAAAGAGAAGCAAGAATTATCAATGATGTTCGTTGCTACTATAACCAATATGTCAATATCCATCAGAAATAATACAATATTTTCAGTAAGACCCGATTAAACTCCAGTTAAGTATGCAGTAATGAAATACTGAACATCAAATTCCATTTAATTAATATTTAATATTTTAATCTAATTGGATTAAAAGCAAATTACTATCAGATACAAAACTTTATCTATTCCTATCGGTAGCTTCATTTTTGGCTTTAATCGTTACCCACTAGTGGTAATACATGATATTTTTGATCCCATATTTTCATTCATGACGATGCTTTCTTAAATATATTTTCGATGCAAATTCAGTAATATTATAGCAAAGTTATTGTATAGATGTTCTTTTATTTTTCTTATATTTTATCATTAAATCAAATTCCATTAAAATAGGAAGGTATCTATTAAAAAAGAAGTAAAAAATACCTATCAAAGCTATTAGAGCAGTTTTCTAGTTACCCATAGAAGATATATTGGCGATGAAGTAAAACAGTCACCTATTTGATAAACTAAAATATCCAGTACGCTGAATATTAATAACGCTGCTCTGCATCCTGATTTTAAAGCTTAAATTCTGCCGTCCATTCGTCATAGATATCAAGACATAGCTACTGTCTATATAGAATAGTAAAATTACTACATTATATCAGTCTTGTATCAGATTTATTATTGATATTATGAAACTGTCTACTACTAAACTACTTTCCTCCTGCTTAATGCTGTTACAGAAATTTTTCATGAAGTTAATGGATACTAACTGTTCAATTTTCAGTAAATACACACTTAATTTCTTGTCCAACAGTAAAACGATCGTATTTGCTATACGTTATTCTATTATGTAACTATACAAGTTCTAATCGCTCATATAGATACCATAAAATGAAATTCGTGTTATTGATGACGCACAAAAGTGCAAGAAAGCTAGGATAGCTCGTATAGAAATTAAGTAACTGAAGATGGAAGGGCTTTGGCTCTCACAGGTATTGCCACAAAATTTCGTAATTTATGAGTGCTTTTATCTATTTAATTTCCTGTTAGCGTAGTGCTATATTTGTATGTTTTAATAATAATTTAGCACGTATTTTGATATTTTAAAATTTCGATTTCTGTAAAAAATTGAATGATTTAGCTTAATAACATTAAAGTAGTCGTTGTTTCCATTTATACTTTGTTTAGGTAACATAATGTAATAGTTAAGCAAATATATCTATACTTTAAATGCATCAATATCGAAAGGTAACCAAAGAATAAAACGAATTTGTATTTCAGAATAAATTATTATTGCTATTGCGCGTGTCTGCTAGTTCCTTACGAGTAGCCAATTTTACTTGCAATCCGAACTTATAAAGTAAAATATAACTTTGCGCGCTAAATAGCAAATAATAAGGGGAAATGGGTTTTATCAGGAAGAATAAAATGTAATCAAACGATTATCAGCTGTAGCTTACTGGATTGCGATTTTCTTAGGTGGAATGTTGAATTAAATGGCGTTAAGAGAGTAAATTAGATATGAAAAGTTTGTAATCCATAGGCGGAACAATTAATCGGATAGCTTTACCGATATAAGTCTTAGTTTATTACCTGTGAATGTAATGAAACTGCAGAGAACTGCTTAATACTTTTCCACAGCTTGAGAACTCTTGATGATAATTGATTGAACGTATAATCTGTGGTTAATATAATTTTCGTCAATTTGTACTAATATAGTCTGAACTTACATATGTTTACTCATTCTATATTGTTAGCGTAGTTCGTTAAGTACATTTGCATTCACGTTTATTGTTACGTATGGATTTTAATTTGCTAATGATTCTTAAGGCATACATAGTATTAGTTTCATTAAATTAATATTTTGCTCGAATTCTTAAATTAATCCGTAATACTAACTTTACAATCTATTCTTACGACATGCAGTCTCAAAATTGCAATGTCAAGCCACTTTGAAACGTCAAGAAGCTTAGAATAATCAACGCATTGTTAAATGATTGGTGTAAGCCTACAAAATGCCTATACTTTTTGGTACGAATTAATATGATAATTTAATTTCTTGTACAGAAATGTATATTAACTACTGTCTTGGTAAGTTTAGGTTATTTTTAAATAGAAAAGTAGCACATATACAGTTTAAACTAGCACTCAAGATAGTCTCGAATAGAATACCAGTAGATTCGATTTAAACACTTCTATTCTATCTGATTGTTGCCATGGGAACTATAGTTTGCAGCCAACATTGAACATACTGCTATACTGTTTCTTTCTCAGTCTAGAATGCGTAAATCGTTATACTCATGATGTCCAGTATTTAGTAAGAACTATCTATTTTATGCAATTTAGAAGCAGCTATTGCCCTTCCAATATAATTATAAAACTGTTTTCTGATCAGTATTATCTCAAAGTTCACTTGCACGTATGTGCAGAAAAATAAATTAATTTATGCTCTGGATGTTTCAATCGAAATCTGATCGATTTTCCTACGGATATAAATGCCGATGATGATAGTAATAGAAGAGCATTTAATTTAATTTGCTTTAATGGAAGAAGATATTAAATATTTACTGTAGTATAATACGCAGTCAAATATTAGATTAAGACCGACTAGATTTTATTTAGCATTATCATTGACAAAGATTAATATGCTTATCTACTTGGTAACGCCAAGTATAACATGTCTATTTTATCACAGATTTGATATCATGTTACTAATATATCTTCAAAGTACTATAAGATAATTACAGATAAATAATTATAGATAGACATTTGTTACTCACGTCATTAAATGACTGCAATACTGATTGCATAATTAGTCGATAAAAAATGCTGTTATCCTATACTATATTGAATAATACCTAAATTGGATACAGTATTAAAGAAACAATGACGAGGAGCTACCGTTGATTAGATAAATAGCGATCGCGTTTAAACAAGAAAAATATCATCTAAAAAGTAACAAATCATTCAGACTGATCCTTCATTAATGAGTGTAGATTTATCTTTTATCAAAGATTTAAAATTTAATAAAATAAATTAGCTACGAGTAAACTTAAAATCATTTAAAGGCATTTAATAGCCTTTCAGTACTAGTATTGTAATAAAATATTAGTAGCATTCTAAACATTAATAGTCATATCCGTAGTACATTAAATAATTATTAACTAATGCAACAGTGTTAGCTTAAGAACCGCAAGTTTTAATAATCAAGTAGCTAAAATTTCAATAAGAATCAACGAAAAATGTCTAATTATTTAACACAGTATATCATTCTGTAATGATTGAAATATCTTACTGTAACTTAGCTACTGCTAGCAAAAATATCCACAAAATAAAAATAATGCTGGATTTGGATAGCTGAATTTAATGATTGTGGGAACAAAAATTCAGCGGATTGGGCACAAGCTCATTAAAAGCACAAATCTAATAACAAGTAGCGTATTATTTGTAGACCTAGATAATTAAATGATAAAATGATGGCTTAGATTTTTTTGTTACCCTATTCCACAGACAAAATTGTACTTAATGGTGTTGCAAAAAAATGAGTAAAACTCATTAAAAAGATAGCTGTTAATTTTAATAGTCCAAATCTTAACTCTGATCTTATAAAAATAATCTACTGTAAAGGCCTAAAGGTAAAGTAATTCTGAATGAATATCTAATCCATCAATATGATAAAATTGTAAGCACAGTGATGATATATTACGTGTAAGTCGGAAATATCACATTCGATTGTGTAATGTAATCCTTTCTATCCTGCATTCCAAACAATTAATTAGTGATAGTAATTTACTTGTAAAACCTAAGATCAAGCTAAAACGGGTAAGTTAATCCTTGCTTTTATATCTTATTGAATGAGCTATTACCAAGCCTAAAGTATGTAGAATATAAAATCGATAGCTTTATATATTACAGGCTTATCGTTAAATAGCTATACATTAATCCTAAGTACAGTAAGTAAAAATATAGTATTAATGTAGTCGTTGCAATCTTCCATGTACTAAGGAGTTCTAAATCATCAACGGTAAGTTATATAGTATACAAGTAGATGTCAAGCAGACAAAACTATCCAGTCGCAATTCAGATCAGTCGCAAACAAGATTCCATTGCATTATGCCAGAAAGACTTTAAGTCACCAATAACGTTGTAGAGATAATACTCTTCCTTCATTTCGTCACTGTTAAGCAGTAGCTTATATTTTAAGATAGTTTCTATTGCCTGGATATATTTTTTCTGATACAAGAGCGACCAACTCTTATTTTACTACTGATTTTAATGCATGCACCTTTACAACTAATAGCACCCAAATGTTCTACCACTTTCTATTTCTATCTTCCATCGTCAGAAATACCTAAGCTATCATAGAAATGGAAAGAGGATTTATTCTTTCCTTAGCAACGTTAAATAAAACAGAAGTGAATAAATCACGTCAACAAAATGATCATTACAACTGTACTCAATGCCATTGATTCGCATTAGTAACATTGCCATTGAAGAAATCGAAAAAAGCAAAAACGCCTAATCTATTTCTTTGTCTGCTTTCATCACATGATAAGGAAACCCAGCCAAGTTCTAGTGTGAATAGTTATCTTTGAAACAAAAGGAAGCAGCAAGATCACATCTTTTCTTATTGATATCCTAGGCGACAAGATTGTTTACGCAGTCTGGATTAGAATTTTGGCCTCGTCGGAAAGAAGAAAATCACTTTAGTATCTCTGATTTAAAGTAGTATAATCTTGTATAAAATCAATGGAATAAATCCTTCTATTATCGAATTTTAGAGTAATGGGTAGGTCGAGGTCGAATTGAATTGAGTAAAGCTGTAGAGTATTTTCTCAACTGCTTTTTGACTCCTAATTCAACAGTTGTCACTTCTATGAAGATACCTGTATTTGTCGGAGTCATAATTATAGTCCTCATTTCACTCTTTTTTTATTACTATGTGATCAATAGCTGTAATTCTTGGGCCTAGCGGCATAAGTGGACGTCCAATTCGATAGAAATTGAACCCATGAGACAATAGTTTTGTATTTCATTGTTTATACCTATGTAAAGTTAAATAGATATTAGGAGGCACGCAAAGGGCTTTGAATAGATGAATAAGAAAAGAATAATTATCGATACCATGTGCTAGATACAGTTCTTGTTCACGGCTATACTCTATAGGATAATTTAAGGCATAATTAACATATTTTACATGCTCGATTGCATTGAATTGAAATAACAATCTAATCAATACGAACAATATACTAATAATATGCACTATTCTAAAGCATTAACAATAATTAGACCGCGTTCTTAGATTATTTTTCGCTAACTAGTACATCATTTATCGCCTTGACGTTATTGTTGTCCACGTATTGACTTATCTGGCTACAAAAATATGGATGGTATGGCCATAAATAGATTCTAAATCGCTAAAATGTTATTGAAATTGCCTATTGGTATATGTATATATATACAGAGACTCAAGAGGGTCTTCAATTACCATGGTTACCGCAACTTCAAGTCCTATATAAACGTAGCATTTACCTTCGTAAGGTCACAACTTTAACTCGGCAATTCTTTGTTAGTTGGAATTAAATTCTACGTTCTTGCCGTAGTATTTCTTAGTAAGCGAAATCTACAAGAGTATAACTTGATTTTGGAGTTATCTTGTAGTTATCGAAGAAGAAAAATACCTAATCATTTCATCCTAAGGTAGAAGGGTTTAATCTGATTTGTTGTTTGCATTTCGTTAATTCAAGCCTAAGTAAAGAACGACAAGATGGGTTGTGGAGCTTCCAAAAGTACAGAGACCGCTGATGGTACTCAACCAAAGAAGGAAAAGAAACCTAAAAAGAAAAGCGAACCATTAGATAGTATTGAAATGAAAGAATCTAAAATTCCAGAAATTGATAGTTTCTTCGAGAAAGTAGCTGAACCATTTAAAACCATGATTGATATGCGTAAAGCTCTACAAGATGCCGTTGAAGGATTGACTAAATTAGCCAAAACAGCTGAAAGTCCGAAAGAAGCCTTAAGAAACTGCTTGAAAGATTTAAAAGAAGGTTTAGGTGATATAGGTTTCAAGTTAGAATTTTCCACCGAAGGTGTACGCTTTGCAGGCATCGATGAGGAAACATTACCGGGTGAAATTAAAGAAATCTACGATGCATTTATGAATTTATTCAATGGTATTAAAACTATTGTAACAAGTTGTCCTAAACTAGTCAATGATTTTAAAGAATTGGTTAGTGAAGCTAAAGCACTGAAAGACAATATCGTTAGTGCAGCTAAAAATGCTGGCTTAAATCCGATGGGTATCGCTAAAGCGGGTAAAGCTGTAGCGGTCAACATCAAGACTACCTGTAAAGCTCCGCTGGTATGTAAAGATCTCCTTGTCCAAGGTAAAAATACGATTAAAGATTTGAAAGATCTTGCTAAAGCACTCATGGGTCAAGATGTTCCTGACGATGGTCCTGATGAGGCTGAAGATGATGGAGATGAAAAAGGAGATGCCGAAAAAGGAGATGCCGAAAAAGGAGAGGCCGAAAATGGAGAGGACAAAAAAGCTGAGACTGAAAATGGAGGGACCGAAAATGGCGAGGCAGAAAAGGGAGAAGCCACCGCGGAATCTTAACAACACCATTGTCCGTAATACAGACGAAAAAGAAGCATCTAGCCCAGCCAGAAGTAAAATCAGCAATATTTGATAAGTTTATAATAAAGAAATTGTTTTCCCCCTCGCTCTCCTTTCCGACAAGGCCATCATCAAATCGATGGCTGAATTTTCTATGTAAAAGACTGCTATCATGACCATTATTTTTAATCTATTTCACATTAAATGGTCTATTCCTTTTCGGATTTAGTAGTAACTACTATCGCTATTTGAAATTTTATGTTAATCATTTTTGTTAAAGTCCTATTTTAGCCTTTCAATGTATGAATTTTGTTTATACGAGTATAATTATTAAAAGTGTAAACGTAATTTAAAAATTATAAAAATCATTCTATCGTATTTTTAATGTTGTAAATGTCTTGTAATAAATTAGTCACAACTTTTACCTAATATTTAATGCAACAGTATGTCTTTTCTAGTGGAGTAAGAAATTTCAACGTTGAATGGTATAGGATGAGCTAAGCTATTCTAGTGCTCATGATCGCATTGATGTACAAAATATTTTAGTAAGAAAAATAGGTCACGTATTAGTAGATTATCCATTTGGTTAACGTAATTTTAAGACAAGTATTTATAGTGATGACTGTTGTTAATCATAGCTCATGATAAAATGGCTTGTATTAGTTTATGAACTGGGAATAGTAAATAAATATGCAAACTATTAAATTGAACATTTTAATGGTCTTCTTTATCTTTTCCCCTTTCCTTAACAGATACAGCTTTTGTCTATGACTTCATAGACTGTCATAGAATGAGTTGTGATATTGTTTTATCCGTAACTATAGTTAACTTTATCGTTTAATTTCCAAGTATCAAGTCCATTTTGATTCCACTTTATTAGAATAATATGAGATGACGAAGATAAATTTTAAAGGCGGTGAGAGAGTACCAAAGCAAGCTAATTTTGTATTCTTCTTTTTCGATCAATCAAAAAATCCAATGATTGATAACGGTATCCTATTTCATTTTTTAGATGATTATCATTTTCTAATGGAATGATCTTCATTTTAGTCGAGATAATGCTGAAAAGTTTTTCTAATGTATCAAGATCGAATAGAATAGTATGGCTACAAAGTTATCAATAATTTGAAGAGGAAATCAAGTTTATTTATTTAATCTATAATTTGATCTAAGGAAGAAATAAGGAGAACACTATTAAAAGTAATAAGTTTGTATCTTGAATCAGATTGAGAATTACGCCAAGTAATTGCTATAGCTCTGCTGATAAAGTCAATAAGCATGAAATATGCGATACTGTAACTTGGTCGTTACAACGTAGCAAGCTAAACCTACAGACAGTAGACGATTCTTTTCCCTGTATCATCATTGCATGGTTCAATCATATTAAGGGGCTGTTTTAATATCTTGTAGTTTACAGATAAATTAGATGATCGCAATGGAAATAACTGCTAAGGCACCCTTGATATCGATATTTCGTGAAGAGCTTTTTATAAAACATGTCAGTACTGCAATTAAACCTTTTATTAATTTTCGTCAAAACCGACAGATGTGAAAAAATCAATTAAAATCTATTGATATTAACAAACTACTCAAAGATCGATATTAAGCCAATTGAAAAATGGCGATGAATATCCGAACAACATATCGTCTTATTTAAAGAGCTTGATTTGCTACTCATTAATAGGAATAATATAGAAGGAAAATTTGACATTAATTGAATCCTACATGAACGATTTAGAATATTCTGGACTTGAGCGTATAATAAAGCGATAACAGGCTGAATAAAAATTGCAGACGAAAGTATATCTGTAACAAAGCTGATTACTAAAGATTTTGTCTATTTTCATCAACAAAGTTATAATCGTATCGTCAGAAAAGAATAGCCAATGTTGGCAAATCAATTTAAGAATGGTAACGGATAGCAAAGATGACGAGGATTACTAATACAATTAATTACGAGTCAAGCATATCATCAGTATCCATATTCTATCCTATTTCATTTTAAGTTATAGGATTTATACATCTCTGGATTAAGTAGTATTTTACAATCATCTTAATTAGTTCAGCTGTATAGCTGGATATCTTTTAATCTAGCATAGAGCATTATCAGCCAATATATTTAAAGCTGTAAGATTGATACTTGTATAAATTAATTACTCTTTTACTATCATAATGGCTAGCTCTGCCTTAAAATTTTACAAATTTTCTAATTTGATACAGTCTTTCGTCAACACGTGCATCCTACTCTGTTTCATTTTAAGCTGTAGGATTTATACCTATGTCGATAATGTATTGTTGCAATATAATGATGGTTAGGTGTACGATAAATTTTAAAATATTTTATTATTGCAATAACGATAAAAAATAATTAGAGTCTTCCCTTCAAAAATAGTGCTCAGCTCTAGGATACGCATTATCCAAATACTTTTACTTGTATTTTATCAATGCTGAAGAAGCTAAATGAGTCAGATGATATTATTCAATTAATTAAGTTGTCCAATGTTGCTGAGATGAGGTTATTGCTGATAATATAACATATGCTAAGCGATAGGTATGCATAGCAACCAACTTAGCGATAGATATATAAATTGTTTACATCTCTATTGTAAGAAAAGCAAGCCCATCCTATTATCCATAGAATAAAATTTTAATATCATTGTTTATTATCGTACAACTTAGTTTTTGACTAGGCATTGAACCTATCATATACACTATTAGCAGTTCCACTAGCTGCGTCGATCGACTACCTAATAAGATAGTTAGAAGAACAATAAATAACGCTATAGGTGATTGGAATGTTTATTATTCCTATTATCAAAATTCTAAGTTCAAATAGAAATAATGAGGAACAAAAATCTATCGTTATAATTCATTTCAATACATTAATAAGACATAATTATTAGGTTATTGAATGATACAATGAATATTTTTGTCATTGATGGTGAATAGATAACGATCAAATTTCAATAGATTCCATTATTTGGCATAGTTTGCAGTATAATAGCCACTCTGACATTGATATTACCATGGAGAAGATCTGAAAAGAATGTGATTTGCTAATCAATGGTATGATAATGGACAGTTGACTATGCTATTACTTGTGGATTATTTGTTAGACGGTCAATAGCAATATCAATAATTTTAAAATGATGATCAGTGCAGGTGAGTTATGCTTAATATTAAAATGATATTTTTTGAAGATGACTTAGCGTACTGATAGATTACATGAAATCCATATTTGCTAAGGTAATAGATACAGATACATCAATGATTGACATTAGATTAATTTATAAGCCTCTAGGTTGATTTTAAACCATTGTCGAATATGGCAATAGAGTCTCTGATTAGAAAAAGTTAGTCAATCAAGTTCTATTTATTACTGATAGTCGTTGATATCATCATACATAAACTGCTCTACCAGCTACTACCAATTCAATACTTTGAAGGTGATACAACAATTGTGGCAAGCTCTAAAATTTAAAATAACACTGTTTATGAAAGTACCCGTATTCATGGACTGAATCGAAGGCTATTTTTTCTAGGCAATGGGAGCAGATACATTGATGATCGACAAAGGATTCATTTATAGTCAGCTAGGTCGATTAAAAACATTACGAGCAGAGGTAGTAAAGAGTATCTGAACAGAATAAATTAGCAAATCAAAGCTTTTCCATCATCAATAGTTATTGAGATTATTATACACAAACTGTTTTTAGCTAGTATTAATTCATAACTTTGACGATGATAATATTCTTCGAATATTAAGAAAGTGCACTATTTGTAGGTTGAATAAAAAGTTATTTTGGTTGGGTAATCGATATCTGAACTTTAGTGATCAACACCGGATTAATTTGCAGGTTGTTAGATTGATTAAATACATTCCCAGAGGTATTGAAATGTATATAAATAAAATAAGTTATCAAATTAAAATTTTTCCATTGTCGATATTTTTGTTATCATCATGCATGAACTATTTACTAGCTAGTAATAATTCAATACTTCGATGATGATAATATTCTTTAAATATATATTAGGGAAATTTACTTATTCACACATTAATATTAAAAGCTTCCGTATTTTGCCTACTTAATAGATGTAGGCACATTATTCATCGATAACGGATTAATTTGTAGTCAGTTACTGTAGGCTGATCAAAACACTTCCCGTGGAGATATTATAGATTGTTTGAATAAAATGAGTTAGTAAATCGAAGTTTTTACTATTATCGACAGTTGTTGCTATAACTACACATAAACTATTCTACCAGCTTTAGCATAGTACTCCAAGCTTTTTAGAAAAATGTCTAAATAAAATGCATTTTAATCAATATCTAAACAAAAAAGTAAAAATTGTCAGTAGTTAAGAGCTTTATCAATAATCATTCTGTAAGATAGTACTAATTAAATGAATTTTATATGGGTAAAATAATCACGAAATGCATATCTTAAGGATTGAAGTAATAATCTTTAATCGAGATGGATTCTTCGTTATAGATGGGATCAAAGTCACTTTGTTTAAGCTACGACTGGTCTTAAAGATTACCTTACCAGCGAATTCTACTTTCACAATGTTTCTCTAATGCATACACATTGGTGATCAACATCAAGTAATTTAGTTGCATTCAAGTCGATCTAGAATAAATCTTTTAAACTGCGATAAAGAATGCTCGAAAAAAAAATTCTGCTAAATCAACATAAAATAAATAATTTAATATGACTGTTATTTATCTTATCATACGTAGATCATTCCGGTGCAATTCTATAGTTGTGATAAAATAATAATAAAAATTCTTAGGCGTAAAGCAATATTTTTTCCGAATGGGCACTTTCTTATAAAAGGAATTAAGACTATTCTTCCTGAATAATTTTAAAGAATAAAACAACATCAGCTAATTACCACTATTCTACATTCTTTAAACTATGTATACCAACGATCATCATGATGTTAATTTATGGTATATTAATTAATCCAATAGACTTAAGATAATGTTCTTATGTGAA